GGAGGAGAACTTTGGAAACACCGGAGATGCTGCGTGTTTGTTTTAGCTGCTTTTCTCTATGTTTCCTGTTTTATGTTGGCAGTACCTGTGTGATCAGCCCCAAGAACACAAGCAACCCATGGTCTCCACCTGCTCCATGGCAGATGTCCAGGCTGCCTTCAACACAATTGTTTCTCGTATTCAGAGATTGTGAGTATAGTCAGCCGACTTGGTTTCCCAAGTTATCCATGTGCCTGAGAACTTTGGTATTTGGCTAAGTGGGCCATGAAGCCACCCTGGTTGTAGCTTCAGAGATGGGGGTTCCTTTTCTTTTGGTCCAGCTTTCCACGGCCCACTGCTTTCCAAGGCAGAGGCACAGCTTCCCATTATCTCCAACTGAAAGACTGTTGGCTAGTTAGGAAGGCTAGGACCTTCCAATTGGGGTGGGGTGGGGGTATTAAACTAGAGGGACGCAGTGACTCAGTGGCTAAGACACTGAGCTTGTCAATCAGAAGGTCGGCAGATCAGCGGTTTGAATCTCTAGCACCACATAACGGAGTGAGCTCCCGTTACTTGTCCCAGCTTCTGCCAACCTAGCAGTTCGAAAGCATGTAAAAATGCAAGTAGAAAAATAGGGACCACCTTTTGTGGGAAGCTAACAGTGTTCCATGCACTTTTGGCGTTTAGTCATGCTGGCCACCTGACCACAGAGACGTCTTTGGGCAGTGCTGGCTCTTTGGCTTTGAAACAGAGATGAGCACTGTCCCCTAGAGTCAGGAATGACTAGCACATATGTGTGAGGGGAACCTTTACCTTTAAACTAGAGGGAGTGCTAGCAGGAGGTAATGGGGGGAGGTTTGTTGTTGCTCTCCTGGACCTGCAGCCTCTCAGAATTTCTCTTCCTCCGCAGCTGTAACTGTAACTCCCACATGCCTCCCCCAGTGAAAGTGGCTGTGGCAGGGGACCAGAGCTACCTGAGCATCGTCCTGCGCTTTTTTGTGGAGCAGCTAGCCAGCAAGACTCCTGATTGGCTGAACTACCTCCGTTTTCTCGTGGTGCCCTTGGGTAAGAGTCTTGCCCGCTGGCGCCTGTTCTGAAAAGCTGTGGCGTATTCTAAACCAGGGGAGCCTTCCTTCCTTTTTGTTAAGCATGCCAAAGCAGCTATGCCAACCAGGAAAAGGAAACATGGGCTAGAGAAATATGGAGGTGAGGCAATTTGTTCAGACCTTTGGCTCAACTTTGTAAGGAGAGGATGAGGAAATTATTCTGTTTCTGTCCTCCGCTTTTTCTTCCCTCTGTTTCAATGCTCTGTATCCTTCCCAGGCTCTCACCCGCTGGCCAAGTATCTCGGTTCAGTTGATAATAGATACAGCACTCTGTTTCTGGATGCTGCCTGGAGAGAGCTCTTTAGCAGAGTTGAAGCCCCTAGTACAGGTAAGAGCTAGAATTGGCTGAAGCAATGCAGACCAGTAATGGGATATCTGATCTTAAGGAGCTGTTGGGCCTCACTGGTGCTCTGCGCGCCTCTTCCCAACCCCTTCTCTCCATCTCTTTCCAGATACTGTGGACATCCCTGGCCGAGTTGCTCAGTTCATTACAGGTGCCAATGTATCTCACCAGCTACCCATTTCAGAGGCCATGTTGACCTACAAACAGAAGAGGTAGGACAGCTTGCAGCCTTCCTTCTTTCATTTCATCTCTCCTTCCTTTCGTTCTCTTACAGGCCTCACTCAGTAACAGAATGACTGATTTGAGCCCACACAACAGAGAGTCCGTCTTTCGTGGTGCAGGGCTGCATCCCCATATCTCTTGGTGTGTGGGAGGTGGTACACTGGGCTGGTCAGTGAGGACTGAAAAGAGGAGGAAAGCATTGGTTTGTTTTCTGCCAGGTTGAGATAAGACACACGCACGCAAAACATACTGTAGTGAATGCTCTAAAATAGGCCTTAGATGTTTAAAAACAGGATAATCTCTGGGATGCTGCCAAACCAGAAAAAAAAAACCCTGTACGTGCCCAGATGTGTGACACAGCTCTTATCTACTTGACATTGTTAGCCTACCCATTATGAGCCGATATCTCCCTGCCTCCCCCTCCCTCCAAATAATATCCTTCTGGGAGCACCAGGCAGTTGTTGTTTCTACTTCACATGATCTTTTTTCCGTGTGTTTCCAGGGAACACAATCAGGTTTTGCTGTGTGACCCTCATACAGCTCTTAAAGGACAGGGCAGCCAGGAGAAAGCAGAATAGATGGGCCGTTTTTTCTGCTTTTGCCCCAGGATAAAGGCTGGCCTGGACAGTCATTTTGGGATTTGCCAGTGCTGTTTGTGTCTTTCCTCCCACCACAGTTCAAGTGTGTGGGGTACATCAGGCCTCACTGTTCTCTGCGTTTCCCTGCAGCCAAGGGAGACTGACACACAGTATGCACAGCTTTGGCTTGCTGTACTCAAAGGGAGGAGAGGCTTCTGGGGGAATTCGCGAAAGGACTCTGCTTTTTGCTGGGACATTCCTGGACTGAGGGAAGCTGTGTCCTCCCCAAACAGACTTGTTATTGAATTGGAGACTCGGTGATGTTTTCATTTCTATGAGCCATTTTAAACACTATTAGAAAGAAAGTTGCATGTCTCAAAGCAAAGCACCGGCCTTCAAAATCACCTCTATTTCCAAAGATGCCTTCAGCTTCCACATAGGACCCACAGATGTTTTCACAGACCACCAATGCAGACCTTCATTTTAGGTTTGCCCAGAAAAAAAGGCAGAGGGTGTCCTGGGAGGCTAGAGAAGGTAGCAGGGGACAACCTCACCGGTTTGCTTCCTGGTGATGTTTTCTCTCTAACAGATTCTCTGTTAAAGTTTTCCCTCCAGTCTCCAGACGCTGAGGGTGCCTTGCTGTAATTTAACCTCTTCTGATTTGCCCTGAAGAGCAACTCTGTGCTAAAGCCCCACTATAGCAGAGCATGTGCCAGGAGAAGAAACCTTCCCAGTGGCTCTGTGAGTGGGTGGGAGAAGGGTGGGGCAGGGCTGTAGGTCATAAAAAACTGACTTACCATATTTTTTGGAGTATAAGACACATCTTTTGCCCCCCAAAAGAGGGTGACAATCTGGGTGCGTCTTATACGCTGAATACAGCATTTTGGGCTTCTTGAAATCCCACCCCTTCACAAAAATGGCTGTGCAGAGGGTTTGGGAGGCCTGCAAAGTGCTCCTGGAGGCTGGAGAGGGCAAAAATGAGCTTGTTTTTGCCCCCCTCCCCCCAGCCCCCAGGAGCACTCTACAAGTCTCCTAAAGGCTATGCATGCCCTTTTTTGGCAAAAAAATAGGCCGTTTTTTGCTCATTTTTGCCTCCCCAGCACCCAGGAACACTTTGCAGGCCTTTCAAACTCTCTGCATTTTTCACAAAAAATGAGCCATGCAGAGGGTTTGGGAGGCCTGCAGAGTGCAAAAACGTTTTTTAAAATTTACCTCTTCAAAATCTTGGTTCATCTTATACTCCGGTGCATCTTATACTCCAAAAAAATACGGTAGTTATCTGGAGAGATGACAGTTGTGAGTACAAGACTATGATGAGGTGGCTTCCTGCCCTGCCCCCATTGTCACGTACAGGACTTGTCTTATGGAAATGCTTCGTAGGCGTTTGCAGTGGTGGCTTCTGCCCAGAGCACCTGGACTGCATGTAGGTGATACGTCTTCACCTAGCTTGCCACGCACCAGCTGCAGCATAACACGGACACACATTCCCCAGAATGACTACGTTGCTTATTGTTGTGTAAATAGATCTAGAAATTCCAGCATTAAAAATCAGTCTGGAGTTGAGCAAGTCCTTGGCATTGCAGAATCTGAAGTTACTGCGAAGAAGGAAGCCTGCTGCCTAAAAATGGCCCTGAATCTCTTTTTGGGGGACTCTTGGAGATCCCAATAATGTGTCATTGAAATTTAGCTATGAACTGTCAGTTTATACAATATCATTTTTTAATTATAGAAAGCAACAAAAGAGGTGCTTTAAGCTTCTAGTAGATTGGAATGCACCTATTTTACGTTTTTAAAAAAAGGCTATTAAAATTCTCTCCCTCGTTGTCACTCTGTGTCCCCGATGGCTTTAACTGTCAAAGAGAGGAATAGGTGGCGGGGAGATGGTGCTGTGTAATTCAAGGAATTCACTACTCAGATAACCAAAGGCAAAGAAATCAAACTATGGGCAGGGGGACAAAGCCTACATATGTATTTTAAAATATTCTCCATTATTAAAGTACACTGGTATTCAAGTCAAAAGCTAAAATGATGAAATGTTGGCATTTTCTAATACTAAAGAGCTTTGAATAAATTGTGTCTATCTTTTCCCCCCTAAATGTTCTAAAAAACAGAATGGGGTCTTTCCAATACTCCAAAGTACATAGGAGGTGGAGAGAACCTGTCTTTGACCTTAGTATACCATTCATACATTTGTATTTCTTCTGGGACTTCTTTGACACCCGTTCCTCAGAGAGTGCATGTATTCTGTTAGCACAGTTTTTCTCAACCTTGGCGACTTTAAGTCCTGTGGACTTCAACTCCCAGAATTCCCCAGCCAGCTGTGTTAGCACATCTCACCTCATAATGCAGAGCCATAGGGAGACGTGGGGTGTGGCATTGGATGCACATTCAGTAAATGTGTGGGGACAGAACCCAGACAACATCCCAGTTGAGCAGAGAAGGCACTAGTGGTGCCTCTGGTGAATTGTTTGCAATGCATGGAGTTCCAGGTCAGTTCAGATACTCTCTTGTTGTGAGGAAAAACAGTTAAAAATAATTAAGAGCAGTGGCAATGATTTGCACTTTTTTCATGTTTGGTTTCTGAATGGAGATGACACGAGCATTCATGTCAAATGAAGATGGCTAGATCTGTGAGGTGAAGTTGACACTTCAACCACGCAAAATGAATGGAGAAGGCCTGTAGCAGAAGTTGACATGTCCCTCTTCGGCTGTGGTCTCTGCCAGGCAGGAGATCTGTTGTGGATGACAAAAAAGGCCACTCTTGGGCAGAAAACACATTTTTAAAGAAGTCATTCTGTTTAATTCCCTGGTGGCAATAGGTTTATTTGAATGGAATACTCTGTTTTTAATCTTTAAAGGGATTGGCCTCTTCTTCACTTCTGCTAGTTTGGTATCCTCCTGTATCCCAGCAAACTCTCCCTTTACGCATCTCTCTCTCTTTCTCTTATTATCATTCTCTATTTCTGCCTTGTTTGAATTCTGCCAGATTTTATATTCTCTTTGTGTTCCGATTGTGACTTATAACATCCAAAAAGAACTGGCTTTTGGGCCTCTGGGAAAGGGCAGGCATATGGGCCAGGTGACAGGGCAGGTGACGCACCCAGGCTATCATATCCAAGGCTCCACCAGATTTGGAGCCAGTGCTAGTACCAATGTTTTGTAGGGCAGCTCCCTCTTTCTCTGAGACATGTTGTGAGCACCTGCAACATCAATAATGCGAAGCCTGGTAAGTATGTTAAGTGGGAAATTGTTGAAAACATTTGAAATCTTCCTGATCCTCTTTGTGGAATTTTAGTTGTCTTTTGCTGAAAGCTAACCAGGAACACCTTGGAAGGGTGGCCTAGGGAAGTATGCAGTGGAGTACCCCAAGGCTCTGTTTTAGGCCCAGTACTCTTCAACATCTTCAACATCTTCATCAATGATTTGGACATGGGGATAAATGGGGAACTCATCAAATTTGCAGATGACACCAAGCTAGCAGGAATAGCCAACACTGCAGAAGATACGCTTAAGATACAGAAGGATCTTGACAAACTTGAATATTGGGCTCTATCTAACAAAATGAAATTCAATGGTGAAAAGAGTAAGGTTCTACATTTAGGCAAGAAAAACGAGATGCACAGGTACACTATAGGTGGTACCTTGCTCAATAGTAGTAACTGTGAGAGGGATCTTGGAGTCCTAGTGGACAACCATTTAAATATGAGCCAGCAGTGTGCAGCAGCTGACAAAAAAGCCAACAAAGTTCTAGGCTACATAAACAGAGGGATAGAATCAAGATCATGTGAAGTGTTAATATCACTTTATAATGCCTTGGTAAGGCCACACTTGGAATACTACATTCAGTTTTGGTCGCCACAATGTAAAAAAGATGTGGAGACTCTAGAAAGAGTGCAGAGAAGAGCAACAAAGGTGATTAGGGGACTGGAGGCTAAAACATATAAAGAACGGTTGCTAGAACTGGATATGTCTAATTTAATGAAAAGAAAGACTAGGGGAGACATGATAGCAGTGTACCAATATCGCAGGGGTTGCCACAAAGAAGAGGGAGTCAAGCTATTCTCCAAGGCACCTGAGGGTAGGACAAGAAACTAATCAAGGAGAGACGCAACTTAGAACTAAGGAGACATTTCCTGACAGTTAGAACAATTAATCAGTGGAACAACTTGCCACCAGAAGTTGTGAATGCTCCAACACTGGATGTTTTTAAGAAGATGTTGGATAACCATTTGTCTGAAGTGGTGTAGGGCTTCCTACCTAGGCAGGGGGTTGGACTAGAAGACCTCCAAGGTCCCTTCCAACTCTGTTATTCTATTCTATTCTAAATGTAACCACTCTCTAACCACTCATTCAAGGGCCATGAGGCACTGGGCCTTTCTTCTCTCCCTTCCACACATTGAGTACAATATAGCACTGATGGCTCAGCCTTGCCAAGTGAGATAGGCACTGTGTGTTGTTCCCCAGCGCCAGTGTCTAACTGCTTGTATTCAAGGGGTGCTGACTCCTGTCCCTCTTCTTGGTTTTTGGCATTCAAGGAAAAGAAGCCTCTATTTTGATTTTTATATCAGGTATTGGACTGTGGCTTGCTGCAGTGTTGCCTTTCTCTTCTGTGTCCATCCGTCTCATCTCTTTGTCTAGGAACAGAATGAGTGCTTCCCCTGCCTGTCTTTGCCTGAGGCCAGGCTGCTGGCTGTCCCTGGTTGCATGTGAGAACTCCCGCCTGTGGAAGTTGCAGAGAAGGAAGCTGGCCTGTCTGCCTTCCTCTCGAGTCTCTTCTGCGTTTGTCCCTTTGCCTTCCCATCTTTCCCGCGCACTGTGATCCTGTGCTCAGCATTGGGGTTGTGCCGGGGAGGGAGGGAGGGCGGAGTTTGCTATGCTACGTGAGAGCGAGGGAACCATCCCGCTTCCTTCCACCTTCCCAAGAAAGAGACACCATTGCTTGCCTCTGCGATAGCTGCTTGTTTATTACATCAGGCTTTTGCTGGGGTTGCCTGGCCAAATCCTGGAGTCAGTCCATTTATCCCAGAGCTGCCCTTTCTGCTTGTGTCCAACGGCACTGCAAGGGGAGGGGCCAGAGCTATTTGACAGCGGTTGGTAACGTGACCAGCGAAGGACGATGGGAGGCAAAGCTTTGGGTGAGCTCCACTTCACAGGTGGCCTTTGGAGGTAGAGAACTCTGCAGGGGCTTGCTATTTGTAATTGCCTCTGTTCCGTTTTTACAGCCCGGATGAGGATTCCTGCCAGAAATTTGTGCCGTTTGTTGGGGTAAGTGCGTTGGAGTGCATTGGCCAGTAATTGTTAGAGCAGTTTTCCAACCTTGGGAACTTTAAAATGTGTGGACTTCAACTTCCAGAATTCCCCAGCCGTTTTCTTTGCTTCTGGAGAGATGCCTGCGGGAGAAATTGAGTGTATATGCCTTGCATGAAGGGGTCTGTTGCAAGTTGTTTTTTTTTAATTGTTGCTGTGAAGGTGTGGGTGGGCCCATCCGGGAGGTTCTCAGGGTGTGGCCAAAAAAGTCAAGATGGCAGACACAATGGAGCAATTAAATTTCCATCTGCGGTGCACATTAAAAACAAACAAACCAGACAGTTTCTGTGACTTTTTGAACCCCACACTGTGGATCTCCGTAAACACACCCTCCTAGATCTCTCTGTCAGGGTGGTGGAATATTGCCTGTTGCAATTTCTTGGCTTTGAGCAATTTTTCCTCCCACACAGGTGGTGAAAGTGGGACTTGTGGAGCAGTCCTTCAGCACTTCAGGTGAGAGATGGGCATGGTTGGTGGCAACAGTTGGGTCCTTGAGGCAGCAGCCTTGCTCTGTTTTTACTCCTGTTTTGTGTCCCTGCAGACCAGGGAAAACGTGGGGTAGTTATGGGCCGGAGAGATGAAGTCATGCTGTGGCAACCTGCCTCAACTATAACCTCTCCTGGTTTTGCACATCAGTGAGGCTGAGGCTTTTGAGGAGGACAACAAAAACCAGCAAGGCAAAATGAATCCAGACCTGATCATACTTCAGTAGAATCATGGCATTTCTCACCTTTGATTCTATTGAAATTTGGGACTCTCCTCTTTAAGCCCACTTGTCCTTTTCAAAGTTTTCCTGATGCCATTAAGATTTCAAATTGAGGAGAGTTAGGACCCTTCTCCCTTTGTCCTCACATTCTGTCAATCTCACTCCACAACCACCATCCATTTAGCCCTGAGGTCTGGAGGGGAGTTGTTATGGCTGCATCTGTTGTTTCATTTGTTTTTTGAGTCTGCCGAAAGCTACAGTCTTCAGATGACTGATTACATCTCTCCTTCCTTACTAAACCCATCATGTAACACTGAGGATAGACAAGGAGGTTGGGGAGAGAAATGTAGATAGGCTGGTGTTCCTCTATCTTATTTTTGGGTGTTCAAGCCAACACCTGAACATCAAATGCCCTCCAAAAGAAGCGTTCATCCACACCTAGTTACTGCATGCAGAAACAGCTTCCTGTTTTAATTATTGTACTTTTGTTGCTCTTATGGGTGATGATTTTACTCTAATGGTTTATCAGAATGTTTTTACTGAATATTGTTTTATTATTTTGTATACCTCTCTGGGGTCCTTTGGGACAAAGAGGGTGTTTTGCCAAGTTTCAGGGTAGCCCAGGCAATCGATCCTTTTAGATCTAGAGACAAGCTTTATTATTGATTTAAGCAAACAAATTTAAAAGCATAACAGAAAAAGCCCATACTGTATACCAAGCAAGACGATACCCAAATCTCTTACAAGCTATCAAGAGATCCTTAAATGACAGCAGATACCCCTCCAAGGTCTAGCCAAATTCCCCAGTACCCAGTGCTAGTACCCAGGTGGCACGTGACTCTGGGATGGGCACTGAAAGTCTGGAACTTTCAGAGATAAGGAAAGCTTTGCAGTCATATGAAGACGCTCCCCCACTGCTTTATTCAGCAGGAGTGTAAAGCAAATAGGTTAGCTCAAAATGAGCTCTAAACTTTTAAACTTTTCTTAATAAGAAGAAATCAAAACATGTCGCTCGACTCCTTAAAATACAATGGAATTCCAGATTGCCATTACAGAGACTACAGTTGTTTTTTTAAAAGAGATTGTCTTGTGACTTGTGTGAAGTGTAGATCAAGAGAAGAGGTGTCGTACTATGGGAGAAAAAGTGTTGTTTTGACATTTGTCTTTGAGAAGACCGAAAAGAGCAAGTGTGTATTGTTACCAAGTAAAATTAAATGCCTCTCCCTGCATTCTCCCTCCCTTCTTTCTGATAATGGAATAGGAATCAAATAATAACACTTGGTAGCTATTGTGGCTCTAGGGCAGAGGTGCAGCCAATTTATCTGTGCAGCACATTTTTTACCAAGATATTGTGCTGAAAATACTTGTTCAAATATAAATATCACTATATCAAATGTGCCCAGTTGCATGAATTCAATTACAGTTCATTTGGAAAATACCAAGTGTAATTAAGCATAAAATAAATCATGTACATCAATCATGTCTAATAATAATAGCGCATTCAGTAGTTCGTATCTCGATAGACCAAACAGAAAAAAAAGACTGAAAACGAAGCATAGAAAGTGGAAGAATATTTGGGGGTGGGTGGGGGTGGGGGTTTCAAGCAGGAAGAGATTCACTGGAATCCTATGTACTGAAACCACAGAAAATCTTTCAAGCTAGTTAGTAGACAGCAGGGCAATCAGGAGTCTCAAGACACAAGGCTGTTTTGGTTCCAATGTGGGGAAAAGCAAACTGCCAACCCCGTGCCATGGTTTCTTTTGCTGAATTGTCTGGGAAATTTACCCACATAACTGTTGAAAAACTGTTTTCAAACCACAGTGGTTGGGTTGACACAATGGAATAAGCTGAAATCACATTGTGATGTATCTTGTGTGCAAATCCAGCTAGTGCCTCTGTCCTTTCCTTGTTCCTTCCATAGTAACTACCTTGGTAAGTTCGGTAGGGCAAGCCGTATGGAAACAGCCCAGTTCTGATAGCAGATAGAAATCTCCTTTTGCACTTCATTCCAGACAGCCACGTCGCCGTCCTCCCCCCCCCCCTCCCCAAGCAAGTGCTCTGGACAAACAAGACGTATAATCAGGTGCTTTCTCACAATTTTCCCTAGTTGATTCTGATGATGCTACCATCTGCTCCACCTCACTGCTGAGCTCATCGTCTCCATCTGGTGGAGGGATCCCTTATACCAAGGAAGCTATAGGAACCCCTCCGCCCTCTCCCTCTGTCAGCAGTGGGCTCTCAGGAACCGGGTAAGCACTTATCAATGTACTTATGGGCGTTTTGTGATAATATTAACTGGATAGAGGTCTTGCGTTTAACATGTTTAGGTTGGTGTGATTACTTTGGCTAGCAGACTGCCCCAGGGCTTGTGTAGTGTTACACAACCAGATTCCCATTTTGGTGAGGGCATAAAGAGGTGTTAGCCTTTACAATGCTTAAAGCACCATTGCACTCCATAATCTTTCTTGGAACACCCCCACCCCCAGCATAAACGGGGTGGGGGGTGAGGGAAGGACAGAGGAGAAGAGCAAACTCAATTCCACCATTCTTAAGGAGGCTCAAGAGATTTCAAAAGGATATGAGCCCATGTTTTGCACCTCTGAGCTAATTCAGTTCTCCCGAGAAGATTGAATGATTTCAAGGAGTCATGACAGGAACAGATGAGCAAAGGAATGTACTTATCCAGTGAGTTGATTCTTACTGTAGAAATGCTGGAGGTATTGCCAGAATTCTTTGTTTGGGGACCGTAACAATATTGGCACAGGAATGTGGCTCCATGAGAAAAGAATATCTATCAAGAAAATTCAACTATTGAACGACTGGAGACCATTAAAGGCATGTGATCATGTCAAAGACTTTACAGTGACACTGGACTGTAAAACAATGACTTGAATAAATGGGGGCAAGTCATTTGATTTATAAAGGTACACGAATAGCAGCCTTTTTGCTCAACAGAAAAACACTGTCCAATAAAAGTGAAAAAGCAACATTAACAGCGCATGAGAGATCAGAACACCTCAGAATTTAGCTAAATGACAGCATGTTGATCTCTTCTTCTATTATAGGCTGGAGTGGTTCAGTGCCATCTATTCCTGGGGAGGGCACAACTTCATTCAGCTGGGTTTTCTTTTTCTTTTCTTTCAGCAATTTGAGCCCTGGTGTGGAGGTGATGGGTCTGCAGGTGGACTACTGGACAGCCCAGGGGACAGAGAAGAGAAAAGAGGCTGAAAAGCGGGAAATAGGCATCAAGAACACCCTGAAAAGCAACTTCCGCTCCCTGCAGGTCAGCCGCATCCCTAGTCCAGGAGAGCTCACCCCACCTAACACCATGGCCATGACTGTGGTCACCAAGGAAAAAAACAAAAAAGGTAACCAAATCACCTAAGGAGAATTTCCCCCCCCCCCTCGGGTTGTCTCACATTGTTTGCCTTTAGTCACACTGAGTGCCCTATGGGTATAAATTAACATAATTCATAAACAAAAAATGTTTGTGGTTTGACGTAGACTCAGGGATTAGCTACTTTGCCCATTAGTGGCTTAACAATCCCAGAGTCATACGGGATTGGGTGGCATATAAATTTATTAAATTACTAAATTACTAACTATGTTTGGACTTACTGTATTTTTCAGAGTATAAGATGCACCAAGGTTTTGAAGAGGCGAAGTTTTTGTATTCTGCAAACCTCCCCAAAATGGTCTGTTTTTCGGGAAAATTGGCCCATTCCCCCCCCCCCAAAGGCATGAATAGCCTTTAGGGGGCTTGCAGAGTGCTCCTGGGAGGTGCTCCCCCCAAAACGAGCAAAAAACAGCTTGTTTTTCAAGAATATGGGCCCGTTTTTGTCAAAAAAACTTGCATGCATAGCCTTTAGAAAGCCGCAATTTGGGGGTCCTCCTGGATTCACAGCTGACACTGGAACACCACTTGTCGGCTGTGACCAGGGGGGCCTTTGCCCAGGTTCGCCTGGTGCATCAATTGCGGCCCTACTTAGATCGGGAGGCACTCCAAATGGTCACTCATGCGCTAGTCACTTCAAGGCTGGATTACTGCAACGCGCTCTACATGGGGCTACCCTTGAAAAGCGTTCGGAGACTGCAGCTAGTCC